CTCTTAAGGAGTATTATCACAATATACAATATGCTTCAGTAAATAAACAGGATAGGCATGGGTAAACCCTATACCAGGATGCACAAAGAACAAGAAAGCATGCTAAAACTACACACCATGGTCCTCAGTTTTTTCTTCCATCTTTTCTATTTTATCCTCTGTGCTTTTATTATATTAGATATTTTGTACATATTGCATTATTATTGTTATTGGATTCTTATTAATAATTTTGAAGCTAATTTCTGTTCCATTTGGTATATAAGTAGTAAAATGTATTGATTTTTTTTATAAAAGGAATCTGGGATGTTGAGCGTGATGATGCTACTAGTGGAGCATACTACTTCACTTCTCATTCCCGACCTATTAATTGCATCACTGTTGATCCTTGGAAACCTGAATATATATACACCACAAGCTATGATGGTTCACTCAGAAGAACAAACTTAATGGCTGGCATTGTACAACAAGTATGTAGTCACCTGGGTTACATTTCATGATTACTCAGTATATAACCATTATCATATTTTCCTATAGATTCCATATCACTATTCTAGGAAGGTACCTTCATGCTGGTGTAGAGCTCCTGACCTAAGGAATTATGACTATCCTCCCCTGTTTCAAGCCTGGTGTTCTCCCATTCTCACTGTAATAATGTTGGTAGAATTACCGACAATGTGTAAAGTAAAAGGACACAAGTGCAACTAATGTGACATTTTATTGTGGCAACGTTTCGCTCTCCAGGAGCTTTGTCAAGCCGTTACGGCTTGACAAAGCACTTGTGTCCTTTTACTTTACATTCTCACTGTGCTGTACAGCCCCTTACGGGTTTAACACCTCCCCAAGAATATAATAATAATTCACATCATGACAAGAAGCTCAAAAAGGCATCTCTTATCCCCATGATAGATTACTATCATAATTCATTTCCTCTGCTCCTGCCTCTCAAGGAAAGGGCAGTAACAGTGTTGCTAGTGAGGGGCTCTTGATCAAAGAAATTAGACCTGTACTTCCCTTCCTTGAATCAAACCTGGTTGCATCCCATTCCTCAGGTGCTCCCTTAGCCCTGTAGATTTAGCTCTTCTTAATAATAAAGATCTGGGTGGAGGGAATAAGGAGCAGGGCTCACCCTATAGAATAGGTGAAGGAAGGTTAGAGTGCCAGGAGCTAAACATCCAACAGGCTTGTATGAGCACATTAGACTGGCGTGAATGGCACCAAGTCGTTTTTGAGACCTGGCATTCTGTTGGAGTGTGAAGAAGGTAGCATAAAAAAGATTCAGTGAAACCAGTTAGCCATACTAATGCATGTCAGGATTTTAAAGTGTTAAAAGTTATTAGAAAGTATATTATCATTTATCTGCACAAATAAATGAGAGTACAGTACATTAAGAGTGAGGATTTTCCTTAAATGTCAAAAAGTAGGTAGCTGATACACTTTTTGTCCTTATTATATGCTTAAGATTTTTCTATAAATATTTCATGTTTAGCCTTGCAATGCTTTCCATATTTTCTCAATTGTTCCCTTAAATTGAGAGACAGTCTGTACACTTCAACTCTTTCTCAAGGATCATTCTTTTATAACAGTAGCTGAAGAGTGAGCTTGCAGTCTGGCAGTTGGTTTAAGGTATTACAATAGTAAATTTGTAAATATTCTTGCTACTTCTACAGCTTTTGCTGACTATTTGTCACTCCAATGTTTTTACAGCACAAGACATACCATTGTATATTTTCCTGTAAGAATGTTGATACAGTATTTGATTTGAGAGGAGTGAACATTATCCTTACACTGTTGGTAAACAGTAAGTGGACAAGTGGTAATTTGGAGGCACTTTAAATTAACCGTAAGAAAAAAATTTAAGATTTTTTACCCATAGGGGGCTTTATAGTCAGCTATCATCTTTTTTTCTTCATAATTTTTGTCTTTGCAAATGAGCTAGTTTTTATTTTTTTAACATGACAGCCATTTCCCACCGAAGCAGGGTGACTCAGAAAAAGAAATACTTTCATCATGATTCACACAAAAATCACTGTCTTTGCAGAAGTGCCCAGACATGACAGTTTAGATGTCACTCCAAACAGCCAGTATCCCAAACCTCTCTTTTAAAGTGCAAGAAGCATTGTACTTTATTATTATTTTTTTAACATCTGCCATCTCCCACTAAGGTAGGTCACCTAAAAGAGAATAAAAGCAGTTTTTCTTCTTTGTACATTTAGTAATGTATACACGAGAAATGGTTACTAGCCTCTTGCTCCAGGCATTTTAGTCACCTTTAATGACATGCATGGCTTACGGAGAAAGAATTCTTTTCCATTTCCCCATGGAGTAATAATTATTTTATTATTATTCTCCATGGGAAAGTGGAGAAGAATCCTTCCTCCATAAGCCATGGATGCTGTAAGAGGTGACTAAAATGCCAGGAGTAAGGGGCTAGTAACCCAGTTCTGTATAAATTACAAAATGTAAAAAGAAAAACTTTAATTTCTTTCTTGGGTCACCTTGCCTTGGTGGGAGGCCGCTGGTGTGTTAAAAAAAAATATTTTTGTGTATCATTTTTACCTTTTGTATTTAGATGCATTAATTTGTACTGGTGTTAATTTTCAATTAATATCAACAGGTATACAGTTACGTTGATGAAGAGATATACAGCAAGTATATCTCATGGCATTCACATGTGGATGAGAACACTATACTAGTATCAGCCAGTCATGGTCAAATTATTCATGTAAGTATTGTTAAACATATGATGTTATGTTTACCATATATTACCAGCCATAAGTTGAGGGGGATGTAGTCAGTACAGTACCATAAATTGTCATGTTATTGTAAACCTGCCCATAAGTTGATTTTGCTTTGGATCCTTTGATGAGACCTTCGGTCAAGAAAGAATATTTTGAAAACTCAAGAATAAACAAACTTCTGTTCCTATTTAAAGTTCCCTAAATTTTTGTAAAGATATCATTAACTCTCAAAATCATAACTTAGTTGTAAACAACTTGTGGAACAGACAGGATTTGAACCCATGACATGCCAGTTCTAAAATTAGCTGGTCAGTGCTTTAATCACTACCATTCTGACCTAATGAAATTCTTCCAGTTAGGTATATTTCTGTATAAGTACTAGGGAGGTTAGCATGGGGCCCCAGAAATAAACTTCATTCTTAGAGCTGATGCCAGTCTCGACGGTTTAAATGCAATTTTGGTTCAAAAGACTGATGGTGAGCAAACTCCAATAGTATTTGCTAACATTTGTCTTGATAAGGCAAAAAATATAGTACCAGTTCACTAACTGGACAAGAAGCCTTAGCACATGTTCAGGTTTTTGATCATGTTATACCTATACTTTATTAGTACAGCATAAATATGTTTAATGATCTTGCACCCTTAAGATAAGATTTTGTTCGGATTTTTAACCCTGGAGGGTTAGCCACCCAGAATAACCCAAGAAAGTCAGTGCATCATCAAGGACTGTCTAACTTATTTCCATTGGGGTCCTCAGTCTTGTCCCCCAGGATGCGACCCACACCAGTCGACTAACACCCAGGTACCTATTTGCTGCTGGGTGAACAGGACAACAGGTGTTAGGAAACGTGTTGAAATGTTTCCACCCATCGGGAATCGAACCCGGGCCCTCTGTGTGTGAAGCTGGAGCTTTAGCCACCAGGCCACCGGGCCACAGATATTTAAGAATAAGAAGCCTACAGAAAAGTATGCTAAATGGTGTTTGACTATTGAGGATGCACTCCTACTTCAAATACTTGCCTGGCAGGTTCCCTTTTTCACAGGGGTGCCTTCTGTAGACTAAAGGTACAAAAAGTGAAAATCTTCCTATTCAGTGAAGCTGATATTTGAAATCCTTAGGGAAAAGGTCCAGTTTCTGTGTACAGTAGTGCATATTATCAAGATTTTGTAGCATACTGCAAGAGTCTGATGCACTTTTTCAATCTATACACAAAATTGCATAGTTTGCAATCTCTGCTTTTTACCTGGAAGGATTTTAATTAAGTCTTGTATTTTTGAGTGAGCCTGCAGGTACCATATCAGGCTGCAAGGATAGGAACCTATGGTTGAATGATTTGCCAGTTAGTCATTCCTAAAATATTGACAATATCCATGAAATTTCTAGATAGTAGGTTGGTAGACAGCATCCACCCAGGGAAGTGCTACTGTCATGCCAAGTGAGTGTAAAACAGAAGCCTGTAATTATTTTACATGATGGTAGGATTGCTGGTGTCTTTTTTTTGTCTCAAACATGCAAGATTTCAGGTACGTCTTGCTACTTCTACTTACACTTGGGTCACACTACATATGCATGTACAAGCATATATATACACACACCCCTCGGGGTTTTCTTCTATTTTGTTACTAGTTCTTGTTTTTTGTTTATTTCCTCTTATCTCCGTGGGGAAGTGGAACAGAATTCTTCCTCCGTAAGCCATGCGTGTTATAAGAGGTGACTGAAATGCCAGGATCAAGGGGCTAGTAACCCCTTCTCCTGTATACATTACTAAATTTAAAAAGAAAAACTTTCATTTTGCTTTTTAGGTCAATCTGCCTTGGTGGGATATGGCCAGTTTGTTGGGGGAAAAACGTAGTCGAAGGCGGGGTAGGGGTCGTCCTCGAAAGGGTTGGAGAGAGGGGGTAAAGGAGATTTTGTGGGCAAGGGGCTTGGACTTCCAGCAAGCGTGCGTGAGCGTGTTAGATAGGAGTGAATGGAGACGAATGGTACTTGGGACCTGACGATCTGTTGGAGTGTGAGCAGGGTAATATTTAGTGAAGGGATTCAGGGAAACCGGTTATTTTCATATAGTCGGACTTGAGTCCTGGAAATGGGAAGTACAATGCCTGCACTTTAAAGGAGGGGTTTGGGATATTGGCAGTTTGGAGGGATATGTTGTGTATCTTTATATGTGTATGCTTCTAAACTGTTTATTCTGAGCACCTCTGCAAAAACAGTGATATTGTGCGAGTGTGGTGAAAGTGTTGAATGATGATGAAAGTATTTTCTTTTTGGGGATTTTCTTTCTTTTTTGGGTCACCCTACCTCGGTGGGAGACGGCCGACTTGTTGAAATATAAATATATATATATATATATATATATATATATATATATATATATATATATATATATATATATATATATATATATATATATATATATATAATATACATGTATATATATATATACATGTATATATATATATATATATTAATATATATATATATATATATATATATATATATATATATATATATATATATATATATATATATATATATATATATATATATATATATTTTTTTTTTTTTTTTTTTTTTTTTTTTTTTATTTATTTATTTTTTTTTATTACCTTTCAAGTGAATGGGTATCTTGGAGCTGGTACAGGAATTCAAGGGATAACAGCTACCCTCCATTTCTTCAGATAAAATCTAATTACCCCATACCTTCCCTTTTTTCTCTCATTCCCCAGGCTCTGTATGCTTTTCAACATAATTTTTCAGGTCGATTTGCGAGCTGAGGCAAAGGCAACAAGACAGTACTTTGTGCACAACCAGAAAAGCGTTAAGGTAGTGACGGTGCATCCAACTCGGGTGGAGTACTTTGCCACAGCTTCTCGAGATGGGTAAGTTTATTACATTTATAAATGAAAGAATTTCACTCTAGTGATTTATATTAATTAAATATTGTTAATTTAGCAAATGCTAAAAAAAAATAAGTTATTGAATTGTGATCCATTGTACTCTGGTAAATAATAAATTTTAGCTGGTGAAGGTTTATGGAAAGCATAACTTAGAAAGTTCTGTTTTATTAATTTATTAGAATTCTAAAAAAAAAAAAAATGGATTTTGTAGCCAATAGTAAATAATTTTTGTGTTATCAAGTTATACAGTAGATCATCAGTTATTTGGTTTTCAACATAAGCTGGCAATCTTGTTTGATCTTGTACCCAAAGAGATAGTGCAAAAAAGAGGGACCATAAATTAGTGATGTGATTTGATGAAAATTTGGTGTAAGTTATTTTAAGAGTTGAGCTACATCCCTCCCTGTAACTTCCCTTCTATTCACTCAAATTTGCATGTTGTAATTATTACTTTTACTACTTGACTGTATGTTAATTCTGGAAATACTTTTATGAATATCTCTCAGAAATAATATTTAGTAGTGTGTGCTAAGGAATAACACTTAACACTAGAGGAGGATGGAGGCAATAGAGATGTCATGTTTGAAGGTGGTGTGCAGTGTGAATATTTTGCAGAGAATTTAGAGCATAGAAAATAAGAAGATTGGGGTTGCCAAAGGTATAATTCAGAGGGCTGAGGAGGGTTGAAGTGGTTTGAACATTTAGAGAGGATGGAGCAGAATAGGATGACCAAGAGGGTGCATAAAACAGGAGTGAAAGGTAGGAGTTGGGGTCATCCCAGAAGGGTTGGAAGAAGGGGGTAAAGGAGGTTTTGAGTGCTTAGGACTTGAGCATTCAGCAGGCTTATGTGAGTATATTAGATCACTGAGTAGAGATCAGTGATTTTTGTAGCATGCCATGCTGTTGAAGTTTGAGCAAGTTAACATTTATGAAGGGATTTAGAGATAACAGGTTAGCCTTTAAGGTTGGATGTACGTTGCCTGCACTGAGGAGCTGGAGTCAGGAGGAGGAGGGGGGGTTGTTATGTTGCATTTTGGAAGGTCATCTAAATGGTGTTATTGCATATCTGGCAAGACTGAATTATTTTTTTTGTTACCCTACCTCTGTGGGAGATGGGTAGTGCATTAAAAATAGAGAGAAGATAATTGTAAAACATGTGATACCATGAGAATAGCTTTTGTGACTACAAATGAATAATTTTGTACATTTTATTAGCACAGAATGTATAAGCACTACTTGTACAAATGTTTCAAGAAATTCTGCTGTATCCTATTCAGTAGTTGTTAAATTTGGTATATCATCTCTACCTCCTTCCACCCCTTCCCCAACCCACCCAAAAATTTGCTGCACTGTAACAAGTATATTTTTTTTTTTTTCAGAAATGTGTGTTTATGGGATATGAGGCATCACAGGAAAAATATACCAGTTACCTCATTTAGCCACGGAAGAAATGTTACTGGCCTGGAATTTTCCCCATTGACAGGTCTGGACATTACATTAGTATTTTGGCATAAAGAAACCCATTTGTAGGAAATAAAACTATATACAAGAAAAGACCTTCTTCAGTAGACTGCTAAAGATGGCCTCAGAAGTAGGATGAAATATATAGTACAGCCTCTCCTCACTTAATGACAGAGTTCCATTCCTAAGACCACGTCAGTAAATGAATTCATCATTAAGCAAGGAGCATACTATAATGGTAGTGGGTTTGTGTCAGCCATCTTTGATATTGTTTTAATGTCACCTTTGCACCATTTATAAAATTTTTAGTATATTTTTAAATGTTTATACAGTAGTGTACTCAATATTGTAAACAGATTAGAGGAAATCAGCTCTAATATACATTCTTTAGGTGTGCATACTGGTCAGAGAGCCCATCGTAAGTCCGAGTTGTCAGTAAACTAGTATGTCGCTAAGTGAGGAGAGGCTGTACTCTTACCAAGTTCATTTGCTCCCTAGGACTCTCAAATCTTTAATCTCTGTTTCTTATTATCAGCAGAATTTGTTGATAAAAATTTGCCTCTTCTCTAAGTGGCTTCCCATTTTTACACCATCACCCCTTTTTTCAACATCATTTTTTCCTCTCCCTGTAGTCTGCCCTCTGTATTCTAAAAACCTCTCATGCTAATTTTTTTCCTTACCACCCTGTACCTCATTATTTCCCCATTCATTACTCTTCCCACCTGCTTTCACCCTTGTATACCCACAAACTGCTGTGTGCACTACACTCACACTCTGTCTCTTCAACCTCTTTCCTCGTTACTCATACTTTCTTGCATACTTTTTGTTTCAGTAGTTGCCTGTATCTTTCCTTAACATTTTTCTTTAGTTCATTCACTTTCACTTTTACCTACTGATGTAATTCTCTTTGTACTCCATATAAGCCTTAATCTTACTTTAGGTACCACAAAATAATGTCATGTTGCTCCTCTAAATAACATGCATGTCCAGAAGTCTACTCAACATTTTATCTATTGATACATAGACTAGCAAACCACACTGTCTTTACACTTACATTATTTAAGTCAAATACAATACTTAACCTCTTTTTTATTTTTTTCCTAAAATAAGGATTAACTGTTACCAAAGGCTCTTACTATAATTCAATTAGAGGCCCTCCAGTAGCATTTCTGTAACCCATAATATCTCACACATGCTGTAACCCATTTTTTATGTCCTGTGTTTTTTTTCTAATCCGCACAATTCTTGAATTTAAACACTTACATGCTCTTTTCTCTCTATAGTTTATCATTTAATGTTACTGCTTCTTTAGCTCCAGTTCTTTCAGATATACCCAATTTAACTCCATTTACTCCTTCCCATAGAAACTTTTCCACTCCTTTTGGCTGTTTTGTTTTAATGTTAGAACAACAAACCCCTTTTTTGTTCGCAATATTAAGAATCAGTTCTTTCTTGTATTTACTACATCCATGCATACTCAAGCAGTCTTTAAAATTTCCTTCTTTGGTGTTTTTTAGTAATTATAGAGGCATTACTGGTCCTTTACTCCCAGCAAGGGGGTGATTGTAAGGGGTGATATGTCTGCATTGCACAGAATCTCTTCTTTCAACAAACTGACCGTATCCCACCGAAGCAGGATGGCCCAAAAAGAAAAACCAAAGTTTCTTTTTATAAATTTAGTAATGTATACAGGAGAAGGGGTTACTAGCCCCTCGCTTCTGGCATTTTAGTTGCCTCTGATGGTACGCATGACTTATGTAGGAAGAATTCTCTTCCATTTCCCCTTTGGAGATAAGCAGAAATATATAAGAACAAGAATTAGTAAGAAAATGGAAGAAAACCCAGAGAGTTGTGTACATATATATATATATATATATATATGCTTGTACATGCATGTGTAGTGTGACCTAAACTTGTGTCGGCAGAAGTAGCAAGACGTACCTGAATCGATGCATCTTTATGAGACAGAGAAAATAAGACATGGCAATCTTCACTTGGCAGGATGGTAGTACCTCCCTGGGCAGTTACTGTCTACCAACCTACTACCTAGTACACTGCTAAATATGAGTACCAGTTTAATGACATATGAGATCCTCTATACCCAAAAGCTCCCCCCCCCCCCAAAAAAAAAAAAGGAAGGACTGCAGGGTAACAAAGTTATTTATGCAGCCATTGACACCATCTAAACTCAAGACTCGTGAAACCATAATAGCATGATTGCAGAGATGTCACAGAACCTCCACCTGTTCTATGATTTATTTTTACTCGAAATATACAGCCACATTTGTCAAACGTCCTGATGAGCAGCATCTTTCAAAACCAGCTTTATGGTAATCATTATATACTGCACCTTAAACCTAGGCTATGAAGTGGCTCAGTTATTGCTATGGATAATTTGCTAGAGGGTGGTGGTAGAGTATTTCCATTAAGTAGTCTGAAGGTGTGGTTGTTGAACTGATTATCTTCAACCCTGTTTTTTTTTTTTTTACTACAGTAATTTTCCATCTTGTCTGAATGAACAACTGTTTCAGCATTATATAAGTATGTGAAATGTGGGTGAGGTGGAATGACTTAGACTAATTTATAATGGCGATTTGATTTTCATATTCGGTTTTCTACCATGGTAGACAGGAAAATATAATAATATTCTACATGTTTCAGGGAACTTCTTGATTTCTACTTGTATGGATAACCATTTGAGATTCATATCCTGTGATTTGACTAACATAACAGGTAAGAAAGTTTCAATCAATATCGACACTAGTAAATTTTGTGATCAATAGTTATGTGTAGATTCTCTTGTTTTGAATAGCAAACCAGTGTTCTTGGTAGTATTCTTCTAAATTTTCTTGTAATTATCCACAGGATAAATTGTTTATCCATAGATTTAAACCAGCAAGGCTAAATGATGAGTCAACTTATTTAAACCCTTAACTGTTGGTCATGTTGATCTACATCATTAAGGCTAGTGTTGCTAGTGTAGATATACATGTAAATCAGAGTACCCTCAAATTTGCTGCAATTGGCAAATTTTGGCCTAACCATGAGATAAATCTGTGCAGTGGGTATGCACAGTATAAAAAATATCCTGCTCCATGCAGTGCATGACATTACCAGGCATTCATGGTTATAGTTTATTAGCAGAAAAAATTGGGAAAATGTTGATTTTGTGTGTGTGTGTGTGTACATGACAATGGATTCAACATGTAGGGCAAGTATTAAACAGGAAAAGCCTGAAGTTGGGATTAATGAACAATGGGAACATTAATGTAGTAGCTACAATGCATAGTTTTTATTTTGGACTCTTAGAATTGGAATTTGTTGAAAATTTCCAAATTACTGATTTCTGGGTGCTCAAGAGTTTGATGGTTGAATGCACATTTTCAAAAATATTACTGTACATCAAAACTTGCAATTTTTTGTGTCATTACCTTTATAAAGAGATCCTCTGTCGTTTTCAAACTGTTTTTCATGGCCACACTAAAGGGGCTTTTAATTTATGGGGGGGGTGTTAATAGTAAGAGAGTTAAGTAGTTCATCTCAGCTGTTGCAATTTTTTTTTTTTTTTTTTTTTTTTTTTTTTTGAGATTTTAGTACAAAATACAGGTTGGCCATCACTAATCCAGCACTAATTTCAGCTAGCACAATTTCAAATTTCTGGGGTTGCCACACCAACCTGCTGCTACTGTTTGGTGGTGCTACTTGCTGCACAAGTCATTCCAATTTGTTTTTCTTCCTTTGTTATAACCTGCTCACTTTTAGCCCTAGCCATAGTTCCAATGAATAAAACAAATGCTTCTCATTGTGTAAAGCACATACAACATACATTGTCCATAAAAGATAAGGTGGCTTTGAAGCCACTGTTGATTGCCATGAGCTCATCTCACTCAGATAAGCTGTGACCAGTAAATTTGGGCCTACATATGAGAGAATAGGTCTGTGTGGTAAGTGTGCACTATGTAAAAAAAAAATCCTGCAGCACGCAGTGCATAATGAGAAAAAAACTGCAACTTTGCTGTGTATTTTCGTATGGTTTTTATGGATGTATTCTCGTTTTTTTGGTATTTGATAGAATTGCAGATATATTACAGAAATGGATGTGATTTTGATTGGTTTTGAGACAAAGTACATTGAAATTGAGCTCAAAAGTAGCAGAAATGTTCGATTTTTACTGATGTTCAAGAGTAAACAAATGACGACACTGTCCAATATGTGGTGATGAATGGGTTGACATATATACAATTATTACAATAATGCAGTAGTCTGCATAACAATAAATCTACTTTTTTGCAAGAATAAAAATTCAAAATGGAAAGCAAGCATAATATAAGAGGGACCTGGAGATGTTACTGATGAACAGAGAAAATGTTATTTTAGTGCCAGGAATGTCTGCATTGCTTATTCCAGACCCTATTTTGAAATTGGCATCTCATGAAATTTGTGTAAAATTTGCCAGATTACTGATTTCTGACCACTTTATTGGGAAGTTGAAATAGGTAATTGGGTGGTTTCTTGTACTAATTCGATAGAATAGAAGGAATGCTAGCAAAATAGCTACGAGTTTGGTAGACTGGAACAATGGAAAGGGCCAAAAATAGGGCGTAAAGTGGGTGAAATCACTGATGCATAAATATCGCAGTTGGGTTAAATGTATTCTAACCTAACCACTCTAAATCTGGCAAAATTACTAATCCGGCACCCTTCAGGTCCCGATGATGCCAGATTAGTGATGGTCAACCTGTACTGTATATCTTCATTTACCTTATCGCCCCATCTATTTTTCAGTTGAACGGAAAATCCAGCACAATAACCAGACTGGGAGGTGGTTAACAACCTTTAGGGCTCATTATGTACCTTGTCGTGAAGACTTGATAGTAGTGGGTTCACTTATGCAACCACGAAGGGTAAGCATTATTTAGTTCTCATCGCCCTTGTCTATATTTATGGATGAGGACAAAAAATATTTTAAAAACATTATTGTACAGTCTGATCTCCAGTTTCAAATGTACATCACAAAAAATCTGTCCTTTTTTTTGCTATTGTGTTCTCTAAGAAAATATGTTGGGTTTCAGGTAACTCATTTGTTTGTAAGAACAGTAAAAGCAGTTTGTTAGGAACCCCTCTGGCATGAAGGTGATTTTATGCCCTTTACTGGGTTTCACTCTTAATCTTTTTATTAGTTTTGGTCTATTGCTTTTTCTTTTATTATTATATTACTACTCTTGTTCTTTTTTTCTTGATCATTGTTATATATATTTTTTAACTTTAGTAGTGTAATTTGTGTGGTGAGCCCTGCCTTTTTATTTTCAACCAACTTATGCAAAACAGCTTTGTTGTGTGCACTTTTGAATCCTTGTTAGAATTCTTTTTTAGTTTCACAAACCAGATCATTTTACTTTTCCATCTGGGGGGAGGGAATTGTACTACTGGCCTGTCCTATGAATGTTAAATGTAAAGCTGTTAAACATTTTATACGGTCAGGGTGGCTTGTCTTATTTTCATTTGGGTAGAAATATTGTACGAGTACAAATTGGAGGCCCCAGATTATCATTTACAACAGACATAATATACAAACAAGATGGTTGAAGTTACAGGAGTACCATCTCTGGGCTTCCTGAGAGTGAAACACCCTGTACTTAGCATATGCCTGTTTTTACTCTCTCATCATATTTTCTATTCATATTTCTGTAAATGTATGACCCTAATGGGTTTAGCACTTCTTTTTTTATTATAATAATATTCCTGTAATACTGCATTTCCTTTACACTGAGATAAAACAGTTTTGTGTGGCACATCTTAAGTCTTTCTTACACTACGCATATGCAGTCCACCCATCCTCTGCTGCCTGATCTCTATCAGTCTGTCATATGCCAGGTTACTCAGGCATGCATTAACATTTTTTTAATCCATGCTGTTGATTTTTTTTTTTTTTAAGGGTTTGACACTTGATTATAATAATAATTTTCTCATCTCAAATTGTTTGTATTACACATTTATTAGGACAATATATTATTGAGGCTGCCTTGCCTCTCTTAATATTGGTACTGTATTGCATTTACCTTTTCTCACTCTTCTGACAGTTCATCTATTTCTATTAATTAAAGATCTGCACAAAAAGCTAACACAATGTTTTAGCTCGTCTTAGTATGCAGGTCATATTTCAGTGGGGCATGATGACTTCAACTTCAGTTTTTAACAGCTTGATTTGTCCTCTCCCCTGGTACGGGTCTCTTCTCAGATATTAAATCTTATGATTTCATTGCACTCATTTCTTGTCAGTTACCCTGTTTTCTCCAACTGATTTTACCAGATCCTTTTTCATTTCTTGATGTGGCTGTGAACTAACTGTTACATACTGTATTTTATGTCTCTGATTTCCAGCTGTTTTCTTGTTGGAGTAGACAAACTTATTGTCTCTGCAGCCTTCATCTCCCAGCCTATGCATTTTCAGTGTCTAAATTTAGATAATTGTAGAAATCTATTGTTTCCAGGTGGAAGTTTGGGGCTGTGATGGCGAACTGAAACACGAGTTTATGGGAGAATGCCTTGGATCAGTTTCCAGTGTCACTGCACTTCATCCTACACAACCAATATTAGCTGGCTGTAACTCCTCAGGAAAGGCTCACGTGTTTAAGTAACTTGGTCATGTTTCACTAAGCAGCTATGCAATTGTGAAGTTACTGATCTATATATCTGTACCTGAATTAATTTTAATTTTATAAGACATACTATTATAATTAACCTCTTCCAGGGGGGCTCCTTGGCATGGTGAAGAGGCTCTTGGTCTGAGGAATTAGACCTGTCGGTCTACTTCCTCAGACCGAACCTAATTACCCCCCAATCCCCCGTTCCCTATCCCATCCTCCCCTTTTTCCTTTCCTCCACCCCTCCCTTTTGCCCTTCCTTTTTGGCCTTTGGTTTTTTTTTTTCCCACAGGCACCCTAGTTCCTAGGTAGGGGAAAGGGTACCGGGGTCCATCCCATTCCCTTGAGGTTCTTGGCGGTGGCATAGTTTGCCGTGGAATCTGGATTGCCTGGGGATGTCCTGATCCCTCTCCGGTATCCCGGAGGGTGGCTTTGGGTGTCTCTCGGGCGACGGGTGTATCTCTGGAAGCCACCTTTCGAATTCCGGGGGTGGTGGCCAAAGGAGGTATGCTTTGTGGCGGATTTCCAGCTGCCCTCTCTTTTGTCCACCGAGGTAGCTCGGCAGATGTGAGGTTGCTATCCCGGATTGCCGGTTTACTGGCATGATGGGTAGGGTATGGCACACAGGTTCCATGCTGCATCTGCACTACTTGCGGTGCTGAGATCCTCTTGGGCGTGGAGGGAGATTTCTGGCCCTTTCATTCCTCCTAGGAACTATCCCTCCCCAGTCCCCCCCTTTTTTATTCTTTTTTTTTTTTTTTTTTATTTTCTTTTCTTTCTTTTTTTTTCTTAAAAACAAAAAGAAAGAAGTAACCTAACCATGGCAGCCCTAGTCCATGAACCTGCTACCCCCGGGCCCCTTCTTGATACCGCACCCCGTTCTGACCCCGCCTCGTCTTTGGACCACTCTTCGGACACTCCTCATGCCTCTGTACCTCTTGCCGGTGCTGTTTCCTCACCCGCTTCAGGTACTGAGGCCTCGACTGACTCCTTCGATTTATCTGACCTTCGCTCTCCTCTGACTATGCTTCCGGCCTCTCCCTCTACGGTGCAGCAATTTTCGAATCGCCGGCCCGTTCCACGTCGGACCAACTCTGGTCCCACGCCTAAATGCCAACGACAATTACCTGCTGATGATACTTCTCCACCTTCTCGTTCTTCTCAGAAAAGATCGACACGTCCTTCACTACCTTTCCACTCTCAGTTTCAGACTGCACAATGGACTAAATTCTTCACTTTATGACCGACTTCCTCTACTGCCTATCTTTCTGACAACAGTATTGGCAAGGCACTCCTACGCCATGTTGGTAAAGATATTTCTTTTCATGCTCTTAAGAGCGGTACGCGCATCGTCACTACAGAATGCTACCCAGGCTCATGAGCTTTCTCGTCTTTCCCATATCGATACTGTTCCTGTAACTATTGAAAAGCATCATTCCCTCAATTCTTGTAGTGGTACCGTCATTCTACCTCATACCATAGTTCAACAAAATTTCCAGACATGTGGCACTGACATTCTTGAACAGCTGGAACTCCAAGATCTCCCAATCCTCAAGGTAGACACTTACGTTCTTCCTGCCCGCGGGCGGAGACGCTACCCTAGCAATGTGGCTCGTTTAGCTTTTGACAGCCTTGAACTCCCATCCTCAGTTTATGTAGCAGGACATCGGTTACAAGTTCGAAAGGTGATCCCTACACTGCAACAGTGTAGAAATTGCTGGCGATTTGGCCATCCAGCGAAATATTGCAGATCTATCGCCGAATGCCCAGTCTGTGGTGCCGATGACCATTCTAATACATTTTGCAATCGACCTCCCTCTTGCCTTAATTGTCATGAGGCTCACCCTTCGTACTCTCGCCGTTGTCAAGTCTACTTAAACAAGCGGGAAATCCGTTACCTCAAAGAGGCAGAAGGTCTCCCTTATGCCATGACAGTTTCTCATCTCCGCCTCCAAGGGAGACTACCTCGTGTTTCTTATTCCTGTGTTTCAAAACGTCCCCCCACTTCTGGTATCCCATCTTCTGCACCCACCTCTGTGGTTACCTCTCCCATAGTCACTCCTGTAGCTAATTCTTTTGCTGTCCTTGGCTCAGACGTCCCTACTTCAACGTCTCAGTCTGATCTCGCTTCTTCGTGTTCTCTCTCACAAGCCTCAGTAGCGACGAGATCTCGTATGACACCTCCTCCCAATCGTCCCTCTACTTCTCAAAAGTCAAAAAAAGGTCCGTTAGCACCTCCTACCCATCTTCCACCTCCTCATTTTCCCTTCCGTCTCTGTACCTGGTTCTCCCCCTCTCACTGGCTCTGTTACAAGTGTAGAGGTTCACCCTCCTCCTTGTACTGTACCTTCCTCCCCTGTTCCCTCCCAAGTTTCTGCCTCTTCTGTCCCCTTCCACGCTTCTCCAGTTCCCTCCACCCTTTCGCCCCCCCCCTACCTTGGTACAGTCCATTACAGTTCCAATCTTTACTCATCCTCCCCCTACCATTTCCAATATTGTCTCCCATACGACATCTCTGAATTCTGAAACACTTGAAGCAATCTCTGAATATATTGCAGAGACCAAACCATCAGTGGACACTGATCCACCCTCCGCTCCTTCTCTCTCCTCTACTCCATCTGCGCAACTCCTTTCTTCACAGTGCACGGTTCCTTCGCTGCTTGAACGTTTTCCACTGCCTCCGCATGTGGACTTTTCTAACCCCTCTAGTCCGTAGGAACCCTTACCTGCGGATTTCAGGTATCTTTATCATTGCCAATCATGGCCATTTACAGTGGATATACGCGGCCTCGGGTAATCGGGGTGAGCTTCAGATGTTACTCTCCCAGTTTTCCCCTGTTGGTGTTTGCTTACAGGAACCAAAATTACACTCTGCTGTTATCTCTCCCATCTCAGGCTATAATTTATTGTATTCTTCAGATCCTTTTCCTGATGGGACCTTTAATGAAAGTGCCCTTCTTCTACGCACTGATATTCCGTACCATCAGCTATTTGTTTGTACTTCGCTGCATTACACAGCAGCCCGTATCCACTTGCATAGGTGGTATACGCTCTGTTCTTTATATCTCTCTCCTTCTCGGGCATTATCTATTCCGGATATTGCCTTTCTTGTTTCGTCATTACCACCACCGATTCTGTTACTTGGTGATTTTAATGCCCGCTATTTCCTCTGGGGGGTCTCACTGTGATTCCCGTGGCATTCAGTTAGAGGCTTTTCTTGCCACCCACCCCCTCCATGTTTTAAATACAGGTACTCACACCCATTTTGATCCTCAAACTCACACTCTCTTGCATCGATCTCTGTCTGCTCTTCCTCCGCCGCATTAGACTTCACTTGGTCTGTTCTTCCGGACTTACATGACAGCGATTATTTCCCAATCATTCTTACTTCCCCTTCATATTCACCACCTCTTCGCATCCCAGGCTGGCAATTTGATCAGGCAAATTGGAACCTTTACTCACACCTAACTGTTTTTAGAGAGGTTCCTTCTTTGTCCTCCATCGATGAGGTTTTACACCTCTTCTCGTCCTCCGTTTTAACCGCAGCTTCTCATTCTATACCCCAAACTTCGGGCAGGCATTCTCAGAAATGCGTGCCTTGGTGGTCTCCTGCTTGTGCTCGTGCAGTACGTTTGAAACGCGCTGCGTGGGGCAGGTACCGGTACAATAGAACCACAGAGCGACTTCTTGATTTTAAGCAGAAGCGTGCGATCGCTCGCCGTGTCATCCGTGATGCTAAACGCACTTGCTGGCGAGATTATGTCTCCACCATCACCTCTGCTTCCTCTATGAGTGCAGTCTGGAAAAAAGTATGAAAACTGAGTGGTAAATATTATCCTGACCCGGCTCCTGTTCTGCGGGTTGCCGGTGTTGATATAGCAAACCCACTAGATGTTGCCAATGAAATTGGCAATCATCTGGTCCACATTTCTCAGGGACTCCATCTATGCCCCTCATTTCTTTCCTCAAAGTCTGCCAGAGTTAGCACCCTTGGACTTTTCTTCTCTCAGAGAAAAACCCAGTATAATGTGCCTTTTACACTTCAAGAAGTGGAGGCAACACTCTCAGCTTGCCGATCATCGGCAGCTGGGCCCGACGACATTCATATTCGTATGCTAAAACATTTACATCCGTCAGCCCTTGCAGTCCTATTATGCCTTTACAATCTTATTTGGTCACAAAGAGCTCTTCCACAGCTGTGGAAATCCGCCATTGTTCTCCCTTTCCGCAAACCAGGCACTATGGGACATGAAACCTCCCACTATCGTCCCATTTGCCCCTTACCAGTGCAGTTTGCAAAGTGATGGAACGCCTATAAAGAGACGTTTAGTGTGGTATTTAGAAACCACAACAGTCTCTCCACTCGTCAATATGGCTTTCGTAAGGACGTTCTACCATAGACCCCTTACTATGCTTGGATACGTATGTTCGTAATGCCTTTGCGAATAACCACTCAGTTATTGCCATATTTTTTGACCTTGAGAAGGCATATGACACACACTTGGGGGTATAATATTTTAGCCCAAGCCCACTCCTTAGGCCTTCGAGGCAATCTACCATCCTTCCTTAAGAACTTTTTAACTGACAGGCATTTCCGTGTTCGGGTTAATAATGTGCTTTCCCCGGACTTTATCCAAGCTGAAGGTGTTCCCCAGGGATGTGTTCTGAGCACAACACTTTTTCTCCTTGCTATTAATGATTTGGCCTCTAGTCTTCCATCAGATATTTGGTCATCACTCTGTGTTGATGACTTCGCTATTGCCTGTGCAGGCGCTGACTGCCACCTTATTACAGTTTCTCTCCAGCATGCAGTCGACCGTGTTTCCAATTGGGCCACCACACGTGGGTTTAAATTTTCCAGCACTAAAACCCACCAAATTACTTTCACTAGACACTCTGTCATCTCCGACCATCCTTTGTACCTCTATGGCTCCCGTATCCCTGAACATGATACAGTCAAGTTTCTGGGCCTCCTCTTTGATCGTAGGTTGTCCTGGAAACCTCACATTACCTCTCTGAAGGCAAATTGTCACAGCCGGCTGAACCTTCTTAAAACCCTTGCTCATCTTTCATGGGGAGCTGATCGTCGAACCCTCCTTCGCCTACATTCCCACCCTTATTTATCGAAACTTGATTATGGTTGACCAGATCTATTCAGCGGCATCTCCTGCTACTCTCTCTAGCCTTAACCCCATTCATCACCAAGGATTATGTTTATGCCTTGGTGCTTTTCGCTCTTCCCCTGTCGAGAGCCTCTATGCAGAAGCGAATGTTCCATCCTTATCCGATCGCCGTGATGCCCATTGCCTTCGCTACTATGTACACTCTCATGATCTCCGCAATCCTTCCATTTATAGAATGGTCACTGATATTAGTAGACATTCTTTATTTGTTCGCCGCCCCTGTTTACTCCGTCTCTTCTCTCTTCGCCTTCATTCGCTCTTGTCTTCTCTTCAATTACCACCTTTCTATGTACAAGTAGCATCTCACTTTTCCCTACCCCCCTGGGAAGTTCCAGCTGTTCGAGTCTGTTCTTTCTCCCTTGCTCGAAAGCCCAACTGTCTACGGTCGCTTCCCGCTCTCTTTTTCTTGACCACTTTCACTCTCATTCTCATGCCATTGCTGTGTACACAGATGGCTCTAAGTCTTCTGACGGCGTAGGATTCGCAGCAGTGTTTCCGGACAGCATCGTACAAGGGCATTTACTATCTTCGGCTAGTATTTTTACTGCTGAATTGTATGCCATCCTTACAGCACTTATCCGTATTGCATCTATGCCTGTGTCATTATTTGTGGTTGTCTCAGACTCCCTTAGTGCTTTACAGGCTATACAGAAATTTGATACACCTCACCCCTTATCCTCCGTATCCAACTTTGGCTATGCCGCATCTTACCAAGCATAAAGATATTGTTTTTTGTTGGGTCCTGGTCATGTTGACATACAGGGCAATGAACAGGCAGGACACTGCTGCGCGGTCAGCAGTACATGACCTACCAGTTTCATGAGAGGTATTCCATTTACGGACTATTTTGCTGCAATATCTTCCAACTTCACACCGTTGGCAACAACGGGTTTATCTACTATGCTCGGCAACAAACTTCAATCTATTAAACCGAGTATAGGTTACTGGCCGTCTTCTTATCACCAGTGTCGAGGTTGGGAGACTACTTTCTCCCGTCTTCGCATTGGCCATACTCGTCTTACTCATGGATATCTCGTGGAGAGGCACCCTGCTCCTCTCTGTGAGAATTGCCAAGTTCCATTATCAGTCCAGCCCCATTCTGTTGGACTGCCCACTTTATCAACGAGCATGCAGAATTTACCTCCGTCGTCGTCTTCGCTCTGCTGCTCTCCCTTCTCGCTGATGGACCCACCTTTCATCCAGACTCTCTCATTGACTTTTTGACAACAACTGACTTCACAAATTCTGATACCTTCAGCCCTTTCTACTTCAATCTCTTGCTACCCTCTACCCCCGTACTATCCCCTGCCCCGCTGTTTTCTGTAACCTACTGATCATCCCTCCTCCCTTCTGCCATCCAATACCCTCGCTTCCTTCCCTACCCTGCAGTGCTGTATAGCCCTTGTGGCTTAGCGCTTCTTTTTTATTATAATAATAAAATTTTTTATAATTAAATACAATACAGTGGAATTTTGAATTTCGAGTTTTATCTGTTCTGTGGCCTACCTCATAACTCAATTTGCTCGTACAGTGGTACCTCGAGTTTCGAACAGCTCCCAACTTGAACAATTATGTGTGTGCTTTTGTCTATTTTTGGGGGTCTAAAACAGACTAATCTAATTTATGTTATACCTTACGGGAACAAATTCATTCGGTATCAGCACACTAGCAGCCATCTGGAACAAATTAAGTTCGTAACTCGAGGTACCACTGTATATCAAATCAATTTTCCTCATTTAAATTAATTGAAATGCCATTGTTGATCTATTCCAGCAGAATCCTGCTCTCTGGAGGCAGGACAAAATACTTGAATATGATGCTGATATCAACTCTGTGGCTTATTTATGTATCACAATTCATCTAATATGACATAATAAAGAATATAATTAACACAGAAACATGATATATACTCTAGAATGAATAAAACATGCGATAACATGGCGAGTGATGGTGGCGGCAGCAGCATCCGCCATTTCGTCTCCCAGTCACTATAGTATCTTCCCATGCTCTTATTATAAGAGAAAATGGAGTGTTTGTGAAGCTAACTGCTGTAGCTTACTAGTTTCCTAAGGAAAACACTGAAACAGTGTATTCATAAATAAGAAATAGTATAAAAACATAATAGAGAATGTAAAGAAATAAACTTTATATAAAGTGTATACTTACACACTTGGAGCACAGATGGGAGAGGCAGTGCAGCATATGATGTCAGTGGCCCTATAAACCTCCAACAACGTTGGAGGAGTTCGTTTCGTTTTGTCTTTTTTCTATCGTTTAACTTGCTACTCTCTCAATGCTACATTTTATTGCTGAACTTAACTGATACAATTTGTTGTATTATTATCTATTTAGGGAACTGGAGCACACATCCAATTCCTTAGATCAATAGCCCCTCGCCAACGTCAAGGTTCCTTGATGCTGGCGAGGGGCTCTTGTTCTAAGGAATAAGATCTGTGCTCCAGTTCCCTAAATTAATAATAATTATAATAATAGAGCTTCAGAATGCCGCCAACTCAATGCACTGTTTACCTCGCTGTGGAAGCATTTCTCTCGTGCTTTGCTAACATTATTTACAGTCATTTGGCCAAATTTCTCTTTTCTAACCATGAGTCCCAAGAAAGTAAGTATAATGAACAGTGCAAAAAAAAAAAAAAAAAGGATTTCCATGGAATTAAAGCATGAAATCATAGATAAACAAGCAAGGTGTGCAGGTTTTGGGTCGAGGGGAAAGCTGGCTCGTAACTCAGAGCAAAAAATCGACAGAGCAACTGCTCGTATCTCTAAAAACTCGTACATTGGGACACTCATAAGTCGAGGTTCCACTTCAAGTTTATATGACAATCAAAGAAAGCACTGAACAACAGTTTATAAATACAGTGGACCCCCGGTTAACGATATTTTTTCATTCCATAAGTATGTTCAGGTGCCAGTGCTGACTGAATTTGTTCCCATAAGGAATATTGTGAAGTAGATTAGTCCATTTCAGACCCCCAAACATACATGTACAGATGCACTTACATAAATACACTTACATAATTGGTCGCATTGGGAGGTGATAGTTATGCAGGGGTCCACTGTACTTGGATAGCCAATAGGTTAAATATGATTATTCCATACTGAATATTAATAAGCAAAAAAAAAAAAAAAAGATAATTTTGTATACAAATTTTATTACTCTGATATACTGCAAATTTATATGCTGTAATTATTGTAAGGGCATTCATGTATTTCTTTATATATGCATCACTCTTCAAGGGAATTTGTAATCTGTAACTACATTATTTTAGACTAATATGAAAATTAAATGTTTTAAAAGAATTTTGTATACCCTCATTTTATTCATTGGAGGCAAGTAGTTGCCCATACGTTGTGTGCACATGCATAGACAGACATTGTGTTCTGTGAACATTTAATAAATTACAATATCTTTTTTTTGGGTAACTTTCATCGGTTTTAGCCCTTTCAGTGTGTCATACATACATCCATGTTATTAATGCCATTGTCACTTGTGTAGATCTACAGGAACAAGAAATAAGATATTATACAAACTACTTTAGAGACTACATGTTCAGTTAAGTAGCATCAACAACCATACTTGACAAACTTGTCTAGCTGCTATGTTTAATTTAGGAGCTGCACCAGTAGTTGATGGGATGCATGCCATTACTGTCAAATAAGATTCTCAATCATTGCTGATGCACTAAGAAAGTATACATTTTGGCATCTAGTTCTTTCTCTCCAGTGTTTTGATTGTCACATACTGTATGACATTTGTGGGTCCAGTGCTGAGGTTTGATGGCATAAAATTTGCATTTGATTGATTAATAAGACAGAGGCTCTCAACAGTTTCATTAATTATGAGGGAGGGAGATAGTTTATGTAATTTTATTAAGCTTTGCTAATCATAAGGCCTACTGGAGTTGACTGAAAATATTCATTTCATCCCCCTATTTTTTATGATCTGAATTTGAGCCTTTGAATTTGGAACTGTTACTGGACTAAGCACTGACTGAACCAATATCAAAATGCTCTTTTTAATGTTTGCCAGATATAACCACATTTTGTCCAGAATTATATCTAAAGAAATCGGGAGGTATCAACTGACCTCCAGAATGCAGTTCATGTGTCATCATATGTTCAGTCAACTGATTTTCCTCCAAGAAAGCTGAACCACACAACCCACATATCCAACAAGAATTCTTTACACTTGCGTGATTTTGTTCAGCTGCATGTGAGCTGAGGGAAGCAATATCTTGAAACATTCTCCCACAGTCTGGGCAGGAAATACTCTTGTTATAGGATAAGGCATTCATCTTAAGATTACAATTTGCAGCTTCCAGTGTTTCACTGTCTGAAAACCTAAAATAAAAATTTCAAGTAGAATCAATAACATTTACAAGTATTCTAAAACAATTTGCAAATTTCATTTTATATACAGTACAGACGTCTGCCCAACTTAATTCCAGAAGGCTGTATCTTTGAATTGTTCATAAGTTGTTATTTTGTCATTTTTCTATTTCAATTATTATTGTTCTCTCTCTGCCCCATTGTTCGTTGAAAACTTAAAGACAATACAACCTCTCCTCACTTAATGATGGAATTCTGTTCATCTTTCATAGACCAATCTGCTGACACGTCCACTCCCAAATATCTGAATACATTCACCTCCTCCATACTCTCTCCCTCCAATCTGATATCCAATCTTTCATCACCTAATCTTTTTGTTATACTCATAACTTTACTCTTTCCTATATTCACTTTTAATTTTCTTCTTTTACATACCCTACCAAACTCATCCACCAACTTCTGCAACTTCTCTTCAGAATCTCCCAAGAACACAGTGTCATCAGCAAAAAGCAACTGTAACAACTCCCACTTTGTGTTTGATTCTTTATCTTTTAACTCCACACCTCTTGCCAAAGACCCTCACATTCACTTCTCTTACAACCCCACCTATAAATACAGTGAACAACCACGGTGACATCACACATCCTTGTCCAAGGTCTACTTTTACTGGGAAATAATCTCCCTCTTTCCTACATACTCTAACCTGAGCCTCACTATCCTCGTAAAAACTCTTCACTGCTTTCAGTAACCTACCTCCTATACCATACACCTGCAACATCTGCCACATTGCCCCCCTATCCACCCTGTCATACGCCTTTTCCAAATCCATAAGTGTCACAAAAACCTCTTTAACCTTATCTAAATACTGTTCACCTATATGTTTCACTGTAAACACTTGGTCTACACACCCCCTACCTTTCCTAAAGCCTCCTTGTTCATCTGCTATCCTACTCTTAATTCTTTCAATGATAACTCTACCATACACTTTACCAGGTATACTCAAGACTTTTTTTTTTTTTTTTTTTCAACAAGTCGGGTCACCCTGTCTCCCACCGAGACAGGGTGACCCAAAAAGAAAATACTTTCATCATTCAACACTCACCTCACTCACACATAATCACTGTTTTTGCAGAGGTGCCCAGAATACAACAGTTTAGAAGTATATACGTATAAAAATACACAGTATATCCCTCCAAACTGCCAATATCTCAAACCCCTCCTTTAGAGTGCAGGCATTGTACTTCCCATTTCCAAGACTCAAGTCCGGTTATATACAATAACCGGTTTCCCTGAATCCATTCACTAAATATTACCCTGATCACACTCCAACAGCTCATCAGGTCCCAAATACCATTTGTCTCCATTCACTCCTATCTAACACACTCACGCACGCTTGCTGGAAGTCCAAACCCCTTGCCCACAACACCTCCTTTACCCCCTCCCTCCAACCCTTTCGAGGATGACCCCTACCCCGCCTTCCTTACCCTACAGATTTATACGCTCTCCATGTCATTCTACTTTGATCCATTCTCTCTAAATGACCAAACCACCTCAACAAACCCTCTTTAGCCCTCTGACTAATACTTTTATTAACTCCACACCTTCTCCTAATTTCCACACTCCAAATTTTCTGCATAATATTTATACCATACATTGCCCTTAGACAGGACATCTCCACTGCCTCCAACCGCCTCCTCGTTGCAGCATTTACAACCCAACCTTCACACCCATATAAGAGTGTTGGTACTACTATACTTTCATACATTCCCTTCTTTGCCTCCATAGATAACATTTTTTGCCTCCACATGTACCTCAATGCACCACTCGCCTTTTTTCCCTCATCAATTCTATGATTAACCTCATCCTTGATAAATCCATCTGCTGACATGTCAACTCCCAGATATCTGAAAACATTCACTTGTTCCATACTCCTCCTCCCCAATTTGATATCCAATTTTTCTTTATCTAAATCATTTGATACTCTCATCACCTTACTCTTTTCTATGTTCACTTTCAACTTTCTACCCTTACACACACTCCCAAATTCATCTAATAACCTTTGCAATTTTTCTTTAGAATCTCCCATTAGCACAGTATCAGCAAAAAGTAACTGTGTCACTTCCCATTTTGTATTTAATTCCCCATAATTTAATCCTACCCCTTTCCCGAACACCCTAGCATTTACTTCTTTTACAACCCCATCGATAAATATATTAACCATGGTGACATTACACATCCCTGTCTAAGACCTACTTTTACTGGGAAATAGTCTCCCTCTCTTCTACACACCCTAACCTAGGCCTCGCTATCCTCATAAAAACTCTTTACAGCATTTAGTAACTTACCACCTATTCCATATACTTGCAACATCTGCCACATTGCTCCTCTATCCACTCTATCATATGCCTTTTCTAAATCCATAAATGCAATAAAAACTTCCCTACCTTTATCTAAATACTGCTCACATATATGCTTCAATGTAAACACTTGATATACACATCCCCTACCCACTCTAAAACCTCCTTGCTCATCTGCAATTCTACATTCTGTCTTACCTCTAATTCTTTCAATAATAACCCTACAGTACACTTTTCCTGGTATACTCAGTAAACTTATTCCTCTATAATTTTTACAATCTCTTTTGTCCCCCTTCCCTTTATATAAAGGGACTATACACGCTCTCTGCCAATCCCTAGGTACCTTCCCCTCTTTCATACATTTATTAAACAAAAATACCAACCATTCCAACACTATGTACCCCCCCTGCTTTTAACATTTCTGTCATGATCCCATCAGTTCCAGCTGCTTTACCCCCTTTCATTCTACGTAATGCCTCACGCACCTCCCCCACACTCACATCCTGCTGTTCTTCACTCATAAAAGATGGTATACCTCCCTGGCCAGTGCATGAAATTACCGCCTCCCTTTCTTCGTTGACATTTAAAAGTTCCTCAAAATATTCACGCCATCTACCCAAAACCTCTATCTCCCCATCTCCTAACTCCCCTACTCTGTTTTTAACTGACAAATCCATTTGTTCCCTAGGCTTTCTTAACTGGTTTAACTCCAAATTTTTTTCTTATTTTCATTAAAATTTCTTGACAGTACCTCTCCCACTCTACCATCCGCTCTCCTTTTGCACTCTCTCGCCACTCTCTTCACCTTTCTTTTACTCTCCATATACTCTGCTCTTCTTGTAACACTTCTGCTTTGTAAATACCTCTCATAAGCTACCTTCTCTTTTATCACACCCTTTACTTCATCATTCCACCAATCACTCCTCTTTCCTCCTGCACCCACCCTCCTATAACCACAAACTTCTGCCCCACAGTCTAATACTGCATTTTTAAAACTATTCCAACCCTCTTCAACCCCCCCACTACTCATACCTGCACCAGCCCACCTTTCTGCCAATAGTTGCTTATATTTCACCCGAACTTCCTCCTCCCTTAGTTTATACACTTTCACCTCCCTCTTACTTCTTGTTGCCATATTCCTCTTATCCCATCTACCTCTTACTCTAACTGTAGCAACAATTAAATAATGATCCGATATAGCAGTTGCCCCTCTATAAACATGTACATCCTGGAGCCTACCCATCAACCTCTTATCCACCAATACATAATCTAACAAACTACTTTCATTATGTGCTACATCATACCTTGTATATTTATTTATCCTCTTTTTCATAAAATATGTATTACTTATTACCAAATCTCTTTCTACACATAGCTCAATTAAAGGCTCCCCATTTTCATTTACCCCTGGCACCCCAAATTTACTTACTACTCCCTCCACAACATTTTTACCCACTTTAGCATTAAAATCCCCAACCACAAGTACTCTCACACTTGGTTCAAAACTCCTCACGCATTCACTCAACATTTCCCAAAATCTCTCTCTCTCCTCTATACTTCTCTCTTCTCCAGGTGCGTATACGCTTATTATAACCAACTTCTCACATCCAACCTTTATTTTACTCCACATAATCCTTGAATTAATACATTTATAGTCCCTCTTTTCCTGCCATAGCTTATCCTTCAACATTATTGCTACTCCTTCTTTAGCTTTAACAGACTTATTTCCCTATAATTTTTGCACTCTCTTTTGTCCCCTTTGCCTTTATACAAAGGAACTATGCATGCTCTCTGCTAATCCCTAAGTACCTTACCCTCTTCCATACATTTATTAAATAATAGCACCAACCATTCCAAAACTATATCCCCACCTGCTTTTAACATTTCTATCTTTACCCATCAATGAGAGAAGCTTATGACGACGTTTCGGTCCGACTTGGACCATTGACAAAGTCACACTGTGACAGTCACAGTGTGACTTTGTCAATGGTCCAAGTCGGACCGAAACGTCGTCGTAAGCTTCTCTCTTTTATGTGCGGGTTATTTGTGTATCGTTCCAGTCACGGTATTGTGCCTTTTTGTTATTTACCCATCAATCCCAGCTGCCCTACCCCTTTCATTCTACCACTGCCTCATGAACTTCCCCCACACTCACAACTGGCTCTTCCTCACTCCTACAAGATGTTATTCCTCCTTGCCCTATACACAAAATCACAGCTTTCCTATCTTCAACAACATTTAACATTTCCTCAAAATATTCCCTCCATCTTCCTGATACCTCTAACTATCCTCTCCTATTTTTAATTGACACATCCATTTGTTCCCTTGGCTTCCTCAACTTGTTAATCTCACTCCAAAACTTTTTCTTATTTTCAACAAAATTTGTTGATAACATCTCACCCACTCTCATTTTTCATTGCTTCACCAGTCTCTTAACCTCTCTTTTTCTCTCCATATACTCTTCCCTCTTTGCATCACTTCTACTTTGTAAAAACCTCTCATATGCTAACTTTTCTCCCTTACTACTATTTACATCATCATTCCACCAATCACTCTTTTTCCCTCCTGCACCCACTTTCCTGTAACCACAAACTTCTACTGAACACTAACACTACATTTTTAAACCTACCCCATACATCTTCGACCCCATTGCCTATACTCTCACTAGACCATCTATCCTCCAATAGTTAGTTTATATCTTACCCTAACTGCCTCCTCTTTTAGTTTATAAACCTTCACCTCTCCCTTACTTGATGCTTCTATTTTCCTTGTATCCCATCTACCTTTTTCTCTCACTGTAACTACAACTAAAAAGTGATCTGATATATCTGTGGCCCCTCTAACATGTACATCCTGAAGTCTACTCAACAGACATAGTCCAACAAACTACTGTCATTACGCCCTACATCATATCTTGTATACTTATTTACCCTCTTTTTCTTAAAATATGTATTACCTATACTAAACCCCTCTCTATACAAAATTCAATCAAAGGGCTCCCATTATCATTTACACCTGACACCCCAAACTTACCTACCACACCCTCTCTAAATGTTTCTCCTCCTTTAGCATTTAGGGCCCCTACCACAATTACTCACTTGGTTCAAAGGTTCCTATACATTCATTTAACATCTCCTAAAATCCCTCTCTCCTCTACACTCCTCTCTTCTTCAGGTGCATACATGCTTATTATGACCCTCTTTTCACATCCAACCCTTATTTTAATCCACATAATCCTTGAATTTACACATTTATATTCCCTCTTCTCCTTCCATAACTGATCCTTCAACATTATTGCTACCCCTTCCTTAGCTCTAACTCTCTCAGACTTAATCCCATTTATCTCTCCCCACCGAAACTCCCCTACCCCCTTCAGCTTTGTTTCGCTTAGGGCCAGGACATCCAACTTCCTTTACACACACATGAACACACCAACTAACCCCTTTACTGTGTACTTCTTCCATTTTCCTCTTCCAAGTATGAATGGAGTAGTGATAATGGTGGATGGAGGTGGGTGGATTAGTGAAGGTGGTGGATGAAGTAGAGATGGTGGTGGGTGTAGTAGAAGTGAGGGTAGTGGATGGAGTATTGATAATGGTGGGTGGAGTAGAGAGGGTGGTGGGTGTAGTAAAGATGGTGGTGGGTGGAGTAGTGAAGGTGATGGGTGGAGTATGCAACATTTCTTATTTATAAATACATTTTTCTTATTTGAAAACTGTAACATAAAAAATTGGGGTGGTTATTTTTGGGGCTGAAATGGATTAATGTCATTTCAATTAATTTCAATGAGGAAAATTGATTTGATATGCAAGCAAATTGAGTTACGAGCTCTGTCACGGAATGAATTAAACTCGTAAGTCAAGGTACCACTGTATTTCTTACTGCAAGGCATGGTAAACTATTGAAATGGCATTCCCACAATGCAATGCAGGTGCCCTGATTTTTTTATACTGCGCACACTTCCAGCAAGCGTGCGTGAGCGTGTTAGATAGGAGTGAATAGAGACGAATGGTACTTGGGACCTGACGATCTGTTGGAGTGTGAGCAGGGTAATATTTAGTGAAGGGATTCAGGGAAACCGGTTATTTTCATATAGTCGGACTTGAGTCCTGGAAATGGGAAGTACAATGCCTGCACTTTAAAGGAGGGGTTTGGGATATTGGCAGTTTGGAGGGATATGTTGTGTATCTTAAACTGTTGTATTCTGAGCACCTCTGCAAAAACAGTGATAATGTGTGAGTGTGGTGAAAGTATTGAATGATGATGAAAGTATTTTCTTTTTGGGGATTTTCTTTCTTTTTTGGGTCACCCTGCCTCGGTGGGAGACAGCCGACTTGTTGAGGAGAGAAAAAAAAAAAACTTGACTACTCAGACCCATTCTCTCACACGTAGGTCTACCAGCTTTCTCCTGCTAGATTCAAAGCCGCTAGAATTTTGGCGTATTAATACGTCACTGACACTGGCTTGTAAGCCGTACCTATACGGCACCAACAGTGAAATGGATAACTGGTACAAGAAACTTGAGGTGATGGATGAGAGGAAGATCAGAGGTTGTGTGGGGCTACTGGGGGAGAGGGTCTTCAACCTCATGCATTTTGTCATCAAGTCAGTTAAGAGTTTCATAGACCTGGGTTTCTTCAACATCTGAAGAGGCTTTTGAGGTAGAGGGCACTGGTCTGATGAATTTGTCTAAGGAAGTTTGCATAGTTTTTCTCTTGTCGTATATAAGACGGTAGCATGAGATAGAATTAACACCAATTGAATCCTTTGAGAATCTCTCGATATTGAGGTCCTGAAGCTCAAACATACGGAGACGTCTCTCTATAAGAGAAAATGCCTCGGCCATCAATTTTGTCTCAAAGTTTTTAGAAGGAACAGTTTCTTCTTCTTCCTCTTGCTCTTCCTTACTGCATCTCTTCCAGCTCCATCAAAACTTTGTTCGTCAACTCCGTTGACTTCAGCGCTGCCCAGTGTGGGTTGCAGCAAAACGTACTATGCAAAAGGCATGCAAATCAAAATTCGGATTTGCGGAAGCATTGTGAATGAAACTTTAACTAACACGGCAGTCTGTTCATAATATAAATATAGGAACAAAACCAAACTGAATAAAAAAAAATAGTAAAAAGGAAAAAGATGTTAAATTATTTTTATTCTCCATTAAAATTTCACAAATATAGATGGAGTAATTAAAAAAAAAATATAACCATGGGCATTTTAAAAAAAACACTTACGGCAAGTCTAATTCTAAGCAAATTAGAAAACATACATTATTCTAAATAAGGGCAGTGCTGTATGACTGGTGGGGTTAGCACATGGTTTTGATTATAATAATCTAAATTAGGTTGCAAAGAGAAGAAAAGAGAAAGGTGGAGGGTGTGCATTATTAGTAAAACAAATTAACTTAAAGCTAAAGAGGGTTTAGCACTTAGCTTTGATTATAATAATAATAATAATAATCTAAAGAAATTAGATCCTCTGATGGTGTTGGGTTTGCAGCAGTGTTTCCTGGCAGTGTGGTGCGAGGGCATTTATTAGACTCGGCTAGCATTTTTACAGCTGAATTGTATGCCACTCTCATTGCAATTATCCATATTGCATCTATTCCTACTTCAGAGTTTGTAATCGTCTCACTCCTTTAGTACTAAGCTTTGCAGGCTATTAAAAAATTTGATTCACCTCATCCTCTAGTTCTTCCATACAACTTTGGTTACACCACACTACTAACAAAAATAAAAATTCTATGAAACCAAGTTTGGGTTTCTGGCCTTCTTGTCATCGATACTGAGGTTGGGAGACAACACTCGTTTACGTATCGGACACACTCGTCTAACTCATGGGTATCTCATGGAGAGGCGTCCTGTTCCCCTTTGTGAGAATTGTCTAGTTCCTGTTGCAATTTCTCATATTCTATTGGACTGTCCTGTCTATCAATGAGCACACAGAATTTTCCTCCAATGTCGTCACCGCTCTAACGCCCTTACTTTATTTTCCTCCTTGCTGATGGACCTATCTTTGACACAGACTCCAACTTTTTGACAGCAACTGATTTATTACACAAACTTTGATAACCCTTCCTTTAGCACTCCTCGCAGCCCCTCATAACTTTGCCTTTATTGTCATCTCCACCCTTAATTATCTTTAGATCCTACATCAGTTCCTACCCAGCAGCGCTGTATGACCCTGGTAGATTTAACACTTCCTTTTAATTATAATAATAATAAAGAAATTAGAATAAAAAATATACAAATGTAAAAATTCTAAAGTTAGAATTTACCTAGATATTGAGGGACTAAGCAACAAAAAGCAGAGACCAGAACACAAATCCACGGGAAAGAGAGGGAAGGGGGTGGGGGTTTGGGTGGCGGCAGCAGTGGCAGTAATAGTAGTGCTATTACAAGTAGTGTTAGTACCAAGGTATTTTTATACTATGAAAACCATTTATGGTATAATGACTTTCAGGATTTATTTAGGAAAACTGCATGGAAGAAATTATGTTATGTACTATTCTAAAAGACAAAAAGAAGAGTATTTTTAGGAAAATTGCATGGAAGAAAATGTGTGTGTCCTACTCTAAAAGACAAAAAGAAAAAACTTATAGATATAATCAAGTACAAAAAATTAATATACTCACTGTGAGCACTTGTAGTCTTCTTGCACTACTCTGCTATGTTTCACTTTGATGCGATGATCCAGATCATCTTCCAGTAAAAAACTTTTTATGCAATGTGGACACTTGGATTCTTTCAAGTGAGTTTTCACATGGATCAACATACCTCTAGGAGAACAAGGCTTCCCACAAAACTCACAAAACAATACAGGTATTTTCTTTTTTTTGTATATCATTTCTTCCTGTAAAACCGATTTGCTGCAGTCTTCATTTTTATTATGATCATTCCCTAAAAAAAGGAAAAGGAATAGAAACATTAGTTAAGATGGACAATAGAATGGAAAATCTGCTATCTGCCACTAAAACAACAAACATCAAATAGCTAGACATTTTTGTGGTAGGGACTAGCTACATCACAGACTGGTAAGAGAGAGAAAAAGTTTGTAACTGTCAATAGGACAGGCAGGCTTAGTGTTAAACTCTTGTGGATTGTCAGCACTGAATAGCAAAGGAAAATTGACATCAAGAGTTAAGAGTAAAATCCACTGCACCATGGGTGTGTACAAATGCAAAAAGAGGTAATCTAAATGGCACAGTTAATCAGTTTCAGTTAAAAAGTCAAGAAAGAATCTGCATTAAATGTGTGATATTTTTATGTAGAGGGCAGAATAAACATGCAAGAACATTGAAAAAGAGGTTGAGAAGTCTGTGTGCTGCCAGATAAAAGGAACAATCTATCAAAAGGCACTGATATGTCTCTCAATGTGATGAAAGTTTTGAGATTTGAAGAGCACTCAGTGTGCATAGCATAAGCACAAAACACAAGAATATTCAAGATAAAATTAACTACAGTAACAAAAATAATAAAGTACTAGCATGAATAAAACACAACAAACAAAAGCTCTCACACTTAAAATAGAACACATCACATAAAACGTTATTAAACTGGATAGTCACAAGACTTGCCTTAATTTTTACCCTTAAGCATTCTGCTAGTCTAATCACAGCACAGAAAATAGAAGACATTGCCTCGAGCCAATACAGTAAATTTTTGTTACCAAGTAACCAATCATATAGCCCTAACTCCCAAGCAGAACAAGGAGATGAGACATGAAGCAGTGTACTAGTTCTAGACCTGTGAGAGCATATTTCCCAATCATTCATGATCACTTGTAACCAGGAATATTGACTGAGCTCACATTCAAACATTTTTAAAATAACTATCAAAGATTTGGCAAAAATCTCATGAGTGAATAGGACAATCTATAAAATATTAGAGGCACATTAAAATCTTTTCAAGGTCCCTATAAGCACCCTGGTAACCACAACTCGTGTGGAAATGAAGCCATGAGTGTAGGTAAGATGTGCTCCATGAATGTGAAGTTTCTGCAAAATAATCTACATATCATTCTCCATACATTAATTTAAATTTTTCCATTCTTAAAAATTCCTATACTATAAAAAAGTTTAAAATTAGTTGATTAGAACATGCTTTAGCTATTGTCCATCATGCATGTACCCCTATCAGATGACCAAGTGAAAGCTTGGGCTGTTGTTGAGGATTGGAGTGTTATATGTATGGTAGTCACTGTATAGGAGATAGCTCACATGTAACAACTATATTAATTACACCAGAATCCTCATTAAAATATGAGTTGTCAAGACTGGTCTCAACAATACCGTCAAACCAATAAAAGAACTATTTGCCAAGGCTACGAACAGTGACTTTTCAACCCCCCCAATAAGCAATATGCCACCCCAATGCCAGCTGACAAGGTAATGAATAAAAGCAAGAACCTTTTGCCTAAAGTTAATTCAGAAGAAATCAAGAAACTGTATGAATCTCTAAGCATGTCAGGTGTTAGGCCAATATTTGCTGTGTTCCCTGAATAGCAGGGACTACACATACAGCTGCTGCATTTAATGTACCTAAGCCTCTGACAGATTTATACAGATATCAAAGCAGACAACTCGAGCCACCCTGACCTACTTGCTGAATTCAAGTGTTTTTAGAAATCAAAGTAGGGCTCAATTTTTCGTCTTCACAACTGCAATCAACTTCTGGCATCTTTTAAAATACTTTAAGACCCTGTGGCATGCTAGAATTGGCTTATCACTTTGTCAGTTATTACACCCAACAGCACAAGAATGAGAGAAGTCTCAAGATGGGAATATTACACATACATATATGCTTGTCAATGCAGCCTGATGTCCAATATGGCAAAATTAATAACATGTGATATCACATGTTTAATAATTTTATGCATATGCAAGCCATTCCCATCCTGTGAGTAGTAGTCAAAACAATACAGAGGCACATAATAATGGGGCTAGGGACTGTGCCTCAATATTCTGATAGATAAACAAGCTACAGTGTTAATGAATTACATACATAGATACAAGCTCATTATCTGGTAACAACTGTATCTGAGTTGTTTCTGAAGATATGAATTCAGTCACAAAACTGTTACAATGCAGCTTATATATGTTTATGATTTATTATAATACTCAATACTTTAGCAAAGTATGGCTGAATGTAGACAAGTTATGTGGTTATGACATTTACAATAAACAATAAACAGGGCATATTTCCAGAATGGCTCAAGTACTTTGATATATCCTGGACAATTGTGAGTTGTCTCTGGACTTGTTAATATTTTTTTCACACTCCAGCACATAACATAGGGTATGACAACAGTTCCTTTGGCAAAGCTGCACACAAAACCTCAACATCATATATACAGAATTAAACTGAAATAGGACATCACATGATAGTAAACTGGCATAAAGTAAATCCACATAAAGCACAGGAAACCTTTATGTATATACAGCCTCTCCTCACACAGCGATATACTCGGTCTTACAATGGGCTCTCTGACCAGTATGCATACATAAATAATGTATATTAGAGCTTCTTTCTTCTATTCTGTTTATTGCAATATACACTACACTACTGTATAAATATTTAAAAATATACCAGAAATGTTATAAATGGTGCAAAGGTGACATAAAACAATATCAAAGATGGTTGACACAAGCTTGCTACCATTATAATATGCTCCTCACTTAGCGACAAATTTGTTTACTGACATGGTCTTAGGAACAGAACTCCATTGTTAAGTGAGGAGAGGCTGTATTATGCCTTTTTAAAGTTAAGCTGTAATTTATGAACCAGAGAAGTATATTACCTGAATGTGTATTTACATGGTCTCCTAGGTCATCGATTCTTTCAAATGTCTTTTCACCCAGTCCACAGCTCTTTGGTAAGTTTTTTATAGAAGCTTCATGACAAAAGTGGAGGTTCAGAAGAATCTGTGATGAGAATATCTTTAGGCAGTTTGTACAGCTATACAACCTAAAAATATCAAGTGATGGAACATTAAGTTAGAACATGGGTATTCTATATTGTCCAAGTTGCTATTATACATTTTAAATGGTATAAAATATAAGCAGATACTAAATATACTGTACATGCATATACCATTGTTAGTGTCCATTTCATATATACAGCAGTTCTAGAAACAGATATTACCTTAAACTGCTTACTGTTCCCATAATATATTACAGACAAAACTTATTACTCTAGTCATTAATGTAATCCCAACCTAACCCTTAAATTAAGGTTACACCTACTAGAGTAAGCAACATCCTTCAGAATTTGTGCAGAAAACTAATTTTTAAATTTTCCTAAAATTTGCTTGAGAATAAACACATACCTTTCACTTATCACTATACAATATGATGACATACAGTGGGGCCCCACTTATACAGCAGGTTAGGTTCCAGGCTACCTCCGTAAAGCAGAAATCAACACAAAGTAGAACACCCTTTTTTTTCCACTTATAAATGCATATAAATGCTAGATAATAGGTTTACACTAACATATATTAAGTTAGCAATAGAGCTAGGTATTAAAAAACACAATAAAAAGTAAAATACACACAGTACACTTGTTACTTACCTTAAAACATTAATATGAATGTGTGAGAGGTGAGTGGCAGTGTAAAGTTTTTCCATGTCAGCAATAAGTCACTTTGTCTGACTTTTTTGGGTCATCCTAGGCTCTCTAAACATATGTTGCTCTATGTAAATGTATTTGATGGCTATCTCAGCCATCGACATACCTTGTTAGTAAGTAAGTTTATTCAGGTATACACAAATACAGTTACATAGATTATCATACAGATGTGTAGAGATCCTATGATAACCCAAAAAAGTCAGTTCACTAAGTTTAATAATTTCCAACTTGGCACTTAAAGAGGCTTACGACTCTTTTTATCACAACTAAGCTTAGACACCATCGTCAATGAGAGCCAACTAGTAGTCAAGTTACTTTCACTTACCATACCTGGTGGCCTGGTGGCTAAAGCTCTCGCTTCACACGGCAAGGATCTGGGTTCGATTCCCAGCCAGGGTAGAAACACTGGGCTTGTTTCTTTATACCTGTTGTCTATGTTCCCCATCAGTAAAATGGGTACCTGGGTATTAGTTGACTGGTGTGGGTTGCATCCTGGGACACTGACTTAATTTGCCTGAAATGCTCAGCATAACAAGGGGTTTTCTATATAGTAGTATGTCACTGATGTCAGCTAGACCTGTATACCATGTACACGTAATAAAGATATTATTATATTATTATTATTAAATAATTTTCAGAGCTTCATATTTTAAAACATATGATCCATAATGGACATCTTATATTCAATCTTGTTCTTGGTATATATCTGACACCTGGACAGAGACTGCACGTCTTCTCAATAAATTCCAGTTACAGATCTTCAACTTCTTAAGCATTTTAAAGATTATTAGATTCACCCGAGTCAATATGCAAGCATTCTATTTTTCAAGCAGATTTAATACTGTATTACAAAAACATACTCGCCAATCGCTTGTGATAATGCATTAATAGTTATCCCTGGCAAAAATAAACTGTTCTTATCTTACTTACTTTATTTTTTGTAGAGATTTCTTTATTTGCTTCCCAGCAACAGCAGCAGTTGTACCACTGCTACTTGTATCTTTGGTAAGTGGATTTTGTAATTTTTCACTTCTTTCAAAAGTTGAAGCTTGTTTTTTAATGAGTGAAAACGTAGAAAATGCTAAATTGCACTTGGGAGAATTTGTCCTCAAGTCTGTTCTTAAATGTACTCCAGTTTCCATTTTTTCTGAAAAGGAGGGAACACCACTTGCATCACAATTTTCAGTACTGAGTTTCATTCCAGTCATGTATGCAGCTTTTGGGTTATTCTGCTCTGGTAGTGTCTGTAATGAAAAGTTTAATTAATTTAATCTAAAAATCAAGAAAAACCTTCATTATCCATAAATGCTCCATTTATCCAAAAGCTTAAGCTATTGTACAGAACAAATGTCCAATGTGCAGCCAGATGACCAAATATCGCCCACTGACTATTGCATGCCAGAGATTTTTAGCATCTATAAATATGTTGAACCATGGTGGTATCACACATCCCTGCCTAAGGCTACCCTTACTAGGAAAGTCCCCTTCTCCAATACATACCCTAATCTGAGCCTCACTTTCTACATAAAACTCTTTACAGCTTCTAATAACTCACTCACTACCTATTCCATTCATTTGCAACCTCTGCCACATTATGCACTTCTATCCACACAATCCCCTCAAGGAAGGCTCCTTGACGCTGGTGAGGGGCTCTTGATCTAGGGAATTGGATCTGTGCTCCAGTTGGATCTGTGCTCCAGTTCCCTGAATTAAGCCTGAATGCCTTCCATCCCCCCATAGGCGCTGTATAATCCTACGGGTTTAGTGCTTCCCCCTTGATTATAATAATAATAATAATAATATCCACACAATCATATCTTTCTTCTTTCCACAAACCAGCTGTATCCCACCATGGCAGGGTGGCCCAAAAAGAAAAATGAAAGTTTCTCTTTTTAAATTTAGTAATATATACAGGAGAAGGGGTTACTAGCCCCTTGCTCCCGGCATTTTAGTCGCCTCTTAAAGTACACATGGCTTACGGAGGAAGAATTCTGTTCCACTTCCCCATGGAGATAAGAGGAAATAAACAAGAAGAAAGAAAATAGAAGAAAGCCCAGAGGGGTGTGTATATACTATAAAGTTGTACATGTATGTGTAGTGTGACCTAAGTGCAAGTAGAAGTAGCAAGACATACCTGAAATCTTGCGTGTTTGAGACAGAAAAAAAGGACACCAGCAATCCTACCATCACGTAAAACAATTACAGGCTTTCGTTTTACACTCACTTGGCAGGACGGTAGTACCTCCCAGGGCGGTTGCTGTCTACCAAACCATACCCCCGGCCGGGATTGAACCCGCGGTCATAGAGTCTCAAAACTCCAGCCCGTCGCGTTAGCCACTAGACCAGCTAGCCACAATAAGATTCGTCCAACTAGGTATATTTCTACACCATAGGAAGGTTAGCACAGGCACCTCTGTGACCACAAATGCAAGTTTTTGCAGACGAATCTCCAGCTAGCGTGGCCGTGACGAACTCTAGCTCAAGTCCCTTCACTGCCGTCAACATGACTCAAGAAATCGTAATGACACGATTGCAATCGTGTCATTACGATTTCTTGAGTCAGTGCTGTCTACCAACCTACTACCTAGGATTATTATTTATTATTATTATTATTATTATTACTACTACTACTATTAAATAAATGTAAATACTCACACATTATTTCTATCACTATAATTCCACCATTCAACATGCACAATATTGATCTGATATAATATAATACACATCATCTGCACTTGTCCAATACATTTTATGCAACCTGTCTCTTCATACAAGCCACCTGAAGTGTGTCATCATGGGCTTGGCAACTAGGGATGCCAAGCCCATGATGACACTCTTAAGGTCGCTTGTTCTATCTAGACTGGAATATTGCTGCACACTAACAGCACCTTTCAAGGCAGGTGAAATTGCTGATCTACAAAATGTACAGAGAACCTTCATGGCACGCATAACGGAGATAAAACACCTCAATTACTGGGAGTGCTTGAAGTTCCTGAACCTGTACTCCCTGGAATGCAGGCGGGAGAGATACATGATTATATACACCTGGAAAATCTTAAAGGGACTAGTACCAAACTTGCACACGAAAATCACTCACTACGAAAGCAAAAGACTCGGCAGATGATGCAACATCCTCCCCCCCAATGAAAAGCAGGGGCACCACAAGTACATTAAGAGACAACACAATAAGTGTCAGGGGCCCAAGATTGTTCAACTGCCTCACAGCATACATAAGGGATATTACCAATAGACCCCTGGCTGTCTTCAAGCAGGCACTGGACAAGCACCTAAAGTCGGTACCTGACCAGCCGGGCTGTGGCTGGTACGCTGGATTGCGTGCAGCCAGCAGTAACAGCCTGGTTGATCAGGCCCTGATCCACCATGAGACCTGGTCACAGACTGGGCCATGGGGGGTGCTGACCCCCAGAACTCTCTCCAGGTAATTCCTTTTCAACAACTAGCCTATTCTCACTACCTATATAATACAGTATTTGAACCTCAACCACCTTGTGACTTGAATGAATTACTTGTGCTGTACAGTTACACAAAGCCTAAACATATATGCCAAATATATATACAGCCTCTTCTCACTTAGTGACATACACGTTTACTGACAACTCGGACTTGCAAAGGGCTCTCTGACAAGTATACAAACCTAAATAGTGCATATTAGAGCTAATTTCCTCTATTCCATTTATTACAATATACAGTAAACTAATGTATAAACATTTAAAAATACAGTGGTGCCTCGAGTTTCGAACAGCTCCCAACTCGAACAATTATGTACTGTAAGTGTATTTTTGTAAGTGCTTTTGTAAGTGTGTTTTTGGGGGTCTGAAACAGACTAATCTAATTTACATTATTCCTTATGGGAACAAATTCATTTGGTATTGGCACTTGAACAGCCTTCTGGAACAAATTAAGTTTGTAACTTGAGGTACCACTGTATACAAACCTCACTCAAGGAAAAGGATCTTGGGGTGAGTATAACACTGGGCACATCTGAGACACACATCTCTCAGTTGTAGTACCAGTTCGTAGTAACCAGTTACCAGTAACCAGTGTACCAGTAGATGACTCACTACCAACCGTCTGTGTGAATCACTGACTGTTATTCACGTTGCTGCTGACCATAGCATGTTTTCAAACACCGCTCACCGTAGGCACTGGTGGGTCAGTCTGAGATAGGGAGCAGAGAGAGGCAGGTCGGCTGATGGTGCTTCCCATACCTTCCGTTATATATTATACGTACTAACCAGCCTACGTGAGTATTTTTACCCCATCCACGTTATCGAACCCACATGACACATCAACCAAATAACTGCTGCACCTAGTAAACCTAAGAACAGCATTCCGACATCTTAATAAGGAATCTTTGAGGACCCTGTACACTGTGTACGTTAGGCCCATACTGGAGTATGTAGCACCAGTTTGGAACCCACACTTAGCCAAGCGTGTAAGGAAACTAGAGATAGCACAAAGGTTTGCAACAAGACTAGTCCTAGAGCTAAGGGGTATATCCTACGAGAAGAGGTTAAGGGAAATCGTCCTGATGACACTGGAGGACAGGATAGATAGGGGGGATATGATAATGACATATAAAATACTGAGAGGAATCAACAAGCAGGAGAGACACAGGATGTTCTAGAGATGGGACACAGCAACAAGGGGTCACAGTTGGAAGTTGAAGACCCAGATGAATCACAAGGATGTCAGGAAGGATTTCTCCAGTCACAGAGTTGTCAGGAAGTGGAATAGTCTGGGAAGTGATGTAGTGGAGGCAGGATCCATACACTACTTTAAGAAGAGGTATGATAAAGCTCATGGAGCAGGACGAGTGACCTAGTAGTGGCCAGTGAAGAGGCAGGGCCAGGAGCTGTGACTCAACCCCTGCAACCACAACTAGGTGCGTACGTACACATGTATGCACATGCGCGCACACACACATACCTGGGTTTTCAACAATTTTGTTAGCAGTTCTTGTTTTGTATTTTCTCTTATCTCCATGAGGAAATGGAAAAGAATTCTTCCTCTGTGTGCCATGTGTGTCGTAAGAAGTAACTAAAATGCCAGGAGCAAGAGGCTAGTAACCCCTTCTATATAAATTACTAATTTTTTTTTTCAACAAACCAGCCGTTCCCCACCGAGGCAGGGTGGCCCAAAAAGAAAAACAAAAGTTTCTCTTTTCAAATTTTGTAATTTATATAGAAGACGGGGATACTAGCCCCTTGCTCCCGGCATTTTAGTCGCCTCTTACAACACGCATGGCTTATGGAGGAAGAATTCTGTTCCACTTCCCCATGGAGATAAGAGGAAATAAACAAGAACAAGAACTAGAAAGAAAATAGCAGAAAACCCAGAAGGGTGTGTATATACATGCTTGTACATGTGTGTGTAGTGTGACCTAAGTGTAAGTAGAAGTAGCAAGACATACCTGAAATCTAAATTACTAAATATAAAATGAAAAACTTTCATTTTTCTTTTTAGGTTGCCTTGCCTCAGTGGGATATGGCTGCTTTGTTGAAAAAAAAATGCACTTTAATAAAAACATGAATTACACATTCCTCACCCTTCCTAAATCCCTGTTCTTCTGCAGTTCTACTTTGTCATACCCCTGACTATGCGCAATGCAGTACAGTGGTATCATGAGTTTCGTACAGCTCCCAACTCAAACAATTAGTAAGTGTATTTTTGAGGGTCTGACACGGACTAATCTAATTTACATTATTTCTCATGGAAACAAATTTGTTTGGTAACGGCACTTGAACAGCCTTCTGGAACGAATTATGGCCGAAACTCTGGATACCAGTGTATATTCAACAGGCTAATTACCCTATAACTCTCTGTTGTTCCCATTTCCCTTATACCAAGGAACTGCTCATGCTCTCTGCAAATCCCTAAGTACTTTTCCTTTAATGTGTAATAAATGGAGAATAAATGAAAATCAATAGTAGTGAATACTATCAAAGAATCACTACAGTGGACCCTCCATTTTCAACGATCTCTGTTATCGCCGATTTCGGTTTTCATCGATTTTTTGGTTCCGTTTTTGTCGATTACCTCCGTTTTCGTTGATCGTACGGAACCTGTCCAGTGCTCAGCGTGCAGACAAAGCCACCTCCCACACTCATTCTCGGCCAGTGTAGCGTTGTTTCTTTTGAGTGAACATATCCGCCGGGTCATAGAAAAAATTCAAATACTCCATTTTTTTTTGCCATTGTTTTTTGTGTGGTGTGACTCTAAA